GTTATTGTTCTCCATATCAATAAATAATCATTCTATAGACCAGTGAGTACATTTCCTCACTATGTCCCTGGGTTCTGTGTCTTTCTTTCTCTGGCATTTAGTGGCTCACAGGATAGGTTATGATAAAACTCAGTAGTGCCGGTACCCTCTTCCCATTCCCTTCCTCTCCTCCATTCTTTCTTTTTTCTGACATGACTCATCTCTCCATACCTCTGCAATATGCTTTTCCTACAGTGTTGTTCATGGTGCTTGCATATCTAGGAAGGTTCGTTTTTTTTTCCTCTTTGTGCGAATTCTCTCTCTTCTTTGAGACCTATTTCAAAAATCACCTCCTCTAATAAGATGCTTCCAAAAAAATAGTCATCCAATAAATACATAGTCACGAATAATTTTTCTTGGAGATTTCTGCCATTATTAATGGTTATTAGTTTTCCAAAATAGATAGAGCTTCAATGTAATTTCAATTTCTTCCAACTCTTATTCTAACTCTTTTTACTAGCTTATGGTTTGTACCATTTGAATGTGCTCTGTCTGGTCAGGGGACTTCTACTCTCCATAATTTTTCTCCATGACTGGTTAACTCTGGCCTCTCTGTTGTAGTGAGACTCTGTCCATGTTTTGAGATCACAATACTTTTCCCTTTGAAAATTCCTTATTGCACATTTTTACTATTTCCTTGGTTTCAGTTTTAGCACATAGCTCAGTGGGTTTTTCCATAGACCTCTTGTTTCAACCTTTCTTTCTTCTGCAAAAATTGCCTTCAGGTGTTGTTTCTCTTCCCAAGTCACTTTCTTTCCCAGCGTCAATCAAGAGCCTGATGTATGTGGTTGAGAATGCTCTGGAAAAGTTGCTTCTTTCCCTTTCCATCTGCAACCATTTCTGGCAAATAGCTGGATTGTTAATGGTCCTGCCCTAGCTTTTCCTTCTAAAAGCCATTGTTGCCTCCTGCAAATGCACAGGCCAAATGCTCCCAGTGGTCTCTTCCTTCCTACAGAGCTCATGTTAATGGAGCTAGGATTGATGCTCACCCTCAGAGGAACCACATAAGAGCTCAGAGCCTGGGGCAACACAAGAGTTCAGCTGTGTCCTGTTCCATTGCCACACAGCTGCTCCCTTTCAGCGACTTTGACTCCCCTGCAGAACCTGTCAAGACCACCGACCACCCAATTTCTCAATGACTTGATGAAATTGTTTTGGTTCTAAATTATCCTTTCTTTTGTTATGCCTCTTTAAACTGCTCATTGATGACTGGTTCACCCTTTCTTGCCTGACCACTGAGGCCCCGCCTCTCATCTGGAATGCACTGCTCTCTTCTTTAGACCTCTGATTTGAACTACAGTTTCTCTCTGCTCTCTGTCTTCCCCTTTCTGAAGATATGATTTGCTCTGGTCTTCAGGCTCTGTCTAACTCAGTTCTTCAAGCTCTGTCTAACTCTCTGGGCCTTTTCCCAGACTGATTTCCCAACTGTGTGTTGAATATTTATTACATAAGTAAGTTACACATATAGCTTACATCAATTATATAAAAAATGATTGTTATAAGATCTTATTTTCAAGAAGCTTACAATTTAATAGAGGGATTGTCAAGCCAACTCATTTCTCAAAGTCTTATTGGGTTAAGTTTCCTAACTGAGATGCAAACAGGGGAAAGTGTAGTTGTGTGTATGAGTGTGTGTGTGTGTGTGTGTGTGTGTGTGTGTGTGTGTGTGCGCGAGCGCGCGCAAACACATGCAAGATGGTTGTTATCAGGACCACCTGTTTAGAAGAGGTAGTACAGGGGATAATTTGAAAGTGGGTAGGGTTGTAACGAGGGTGATATATATTTGGAGAAAGACTAAAGTTAAATTTGGCCAGAATTGAGGTAGTGTTTTTCAATAGGGTCCTGTGTGCTGTGACTCTGTTACTCCTAAGAAACTAAATGTCCCATTCAGTAAATGGCAGTTGTGATCTCTAGTCACTGAAGCATATAAACACCACCTGGACACAGTTTCCAGATGCCCTGTAAAGAAAAAAAAAAGTCAGTGATACTGTTAAAACATGGTAAGGAAGATTTAACTTTGTACTACTGCAACAAGTCAGGGACCCTGACAATGGGATTTTTCAATGGTTGGGGTGTGAGGAGATTGGTCTCAGCTCCAAGTACAGAATGGGCAAGTGGGAATTTATCAAGGAGCAGGTGTGAGTGGAAAATTGCTAAGAGGTAACATCAGGGGGAAAGAGGGTTCTGGCTAAATGTATTTAAAAGCATTCTTGATAAAGACAGGCCAGGGTGATCAGACAGCAAGTGGGGATGATGAAGATGAAGTGCTTGATCAGCTATCGTTAGTCAACTTTTCATTGCTATGGTCAAAATACCTGAAAAGAACAACTTAGAGGAAGAAAAGTTTATTTTGGCTCATAAGTTCAGAAACTCAGTCCATAATCATCCATTTCCATTGTTCTGGGCCTAAGGTGAGGCAGAACATCATGGTGGAGGATCGTTGCTACTTCATTATGATTGGGAGGCAAAGAAAGGGTGCTGAGACAGGAAAATGAACCCTTCCTCAGCGAATTCCAGAGACCCACCTCCTCCAGCCACACCTGTCTGCCTGTAGTTACCGCCCAGTTAGTTAATCCATTCAACCTAGAATGGACTGATCGGGTCAGAGCTCCCATAATCTAATCCTTTTACCTCTGAAGATTCCTTCATTAACACAGGAGCCTTGGGAGAGACTCAGATCCAAACTATGACAGATATCAAGGATGGGTAGGTAGTGAGGGTGACTTGATATCAAGGGATTTCTTGGGAACTGACTTAGGAGGGTTCTTTCTGAAACTGGATTTTACAAGGAAGTACACAGGCCTAGAAGATGGTTTAGGAACCTAACTAAAGAATCTTTGTCACTCCTGAAGAAGGTATCATGAGCCTTCTATACAAATCACGGAACCATCCATGTCACGTGAGAAGTACAGAAAGGCCTCTGACCTGAGGAGTTTGTGCCACGGTAGGATTCAGTGGACAGCTACTGAATGTCTTTGAATGTGCGATGACAGGATCCAAATGCTCTTGAGAAATCATTAGAAAAATTAGTAATTCTTAATTGTTAGTAATTATGAAGAAGTTGTTGCAATATTCCAAGTAAGGAATGACAACAAATTACACTGGTTTAACCAGAGATCTGCTTTATAGAACAAGGAACTTACTGGATATGGGGCTCAAGGAAGTATTTGTCCATAGCAATGCCTAGGTTTTGAACCTAATGACCAGCAGCACAGTGGGGCCGTATGTATATAGAGGGAAATGAGAGAGAAGATCAGGGTTTAGAAAGGATGGCAAGTTCAGTCTGGAATACTTTGTACAGCACAGGGGAACAGGAATGACTGAAGTGGTACCACCAAAGCCAGAAGCTACTTAATGAATATGAATGGTGCCACTTGAAAGCTAGTTTTTAAAGGTCTTTAAAACAAATCTTTTGTTGATCAACCCACCGCACACATCCACCCCCTTAGTCACTTTTTGTTTCACCTACTCTCTTGCTTGCTTTCTTCCTTTCTTTCTACCTACTGTTTTTTTTTTCTTCTTCTTCCTTCTGTCTTTTTCTTTTTTTAAACATTGAACAATAAGTAGACTACATCCCAGTCCAGGTCAGAATGCTTCCCAAATGGAACTTAGCATTTTGAATTAGTGAAAGACGGAGCTTTTAAATAAAATATTAGGTAATGGATGTACCAGGAATGAACTAAAAAAGATGCAAGCTTTTCTTCCTGATTTCAGCTTTATTCCCCAGTGACTCTCGCTGAAGGAAGGTCATGAGCAACAAGGCACTGGCACATTGGATCCAGAATTGCTAAAGTAAGTTTTCTCCTCTGGTGGAGTCCCCGGAGGACGCAGAATCTGGCTGAGCTGTTCAAGGTTTCATATTCTTTCCCTAAGTAAATTAAATCGTGAGCACATCTCATCACAGGGCCTACACAAAAGCCTCCTATACCCTTTTGGCAAAGCAGTGTTTGAAATGGAGCTTTCAGGAATGCTAAAAGCCTGTCTCCTCCAGCCATCTGTGTTGGCTGGCCCAGCTGCGACCATGGGAGGGCCCTGGGGGTGGCAGGGGGCGGGGAGGCAGGGCCACCATGGCAAGTTTCATCCATGTGGGAGCCAAACCGAGTCCAAATGAACGCCTGTCAATGTGTTCTTTTTTCTCAATAACTTGATGTAATTCTTTCCTGCAGAAGCCAGAGATTCTCTCGGATATTTGCATGGAGAGAGTGACCAACCCTTCCCCCCCCCAACTTTAAAAGGGCTTTAAGTGTGAGGGTAAATAAATACAAATAGGAATGTGTTGGGAAGATACTGTAGGGAAGCCTTCTATGGCTCTGTGCACCTATACAAATGCAAGCTTAATTAGAAAATCAATCTTGCTGTCCGGCTGATTGATTGCAATCCTCTGCTGGAGGTGGGAAAGAGAGCCCACTCATGACGAGATAATTTTTTCCTATTACTAAAAGGAGGCCTAATGTACATCTCTAAGCAGTTCAGCGTGAAAAACTTGTTAAAAACACACCACCTTTTCCCTCTCGTTAATTGAATCTTTGGGGGAGGGGAGAAAGATGAAAACAGCAGTTTGAATTCTGTGAACTGTTCCTGTTTTTTTCCTCTAAGGATACCTCAGTTCCAAGAGGTGATTTAATAAACTGCCTTCAAAGAAATGGAAGTGTTTGTATAAGGAGGAGGGTGGTGTCTGCTCACCACACCCACAGACTGACTTAGGAGAGAGGATTGACTTTGGTGGAAGAAAGATTCACAGCCCTAAATCATGTGTTCACACTTTCACACAAAGGTCACACATTAACTCCTCTGCTCAGGTGAGGAAGCAGGGGTTCCAAGCTTGACCTGACCAAGGCCACATGCATATGAGTGGAGGAGCCCAGGGAAAGGGCTCTCTGCCCTCAAAACCTTTGCATTTACCACATACCATTTGGCTTCATAAAAAAAAAAGCTACCCTGGTAGGTAACTGTCTGTTTCATCCCTCTTTCATCTTATCAGTTCTTTGGCATCCTCTGATCTGCTTTTAATGCCCCACTTTGGACACATTCTTAATTCAGAACATAGGTCTTGACTGAATAGTTTTCTCCTGCTTCTGATCTGCTCTCTTCTCTCTTCAGTCTCGAAAATGCAAAGCATTTCTGCCTTAACTACAGAGTTCCAGCCACGGTTTTCTGTCGCTTTAACTCTTTTCTCTTTCATTTGTCATTTCACAGATCAGTATAATCCTGCAGCTGTAGCTCTCTTCCACTAAAGATGATGTCTACTGATTTTTCTTTCTGGGGGGGGGAAAAAAAAAGCCTCTTACAAAAACGCCTGCTCAACTCTGGTTGGAAGGAATTTAGAAATTTCCTGGCTCTTAGGAGACCCAAGGGGAGCGGGGATCCAGGTCTAAGGGTCCCTGAAGAGTCTTCCCACATTGCTTAGAAACACTTTCTTCAGGTTCCTTCCTTCACCCCAATATCTCCGTTACTCCCTAAGCTCTCAGCCCCTCCCCCAACCCACATTGGCTCTTATTTTTGAGCTAAAAAAAAATATTCTCTCTGTTTCTTCTGAAATTTTGCTACTTGATTGTTTCATGTGCTCCTCCATGTGGAATACATTTGTAATATTTAATCATTTCCAAAAAGCCCACAGCCAAGACCAAGCTTATTAGTGAAACGGAACTCGAATTCCTTAAGCAGGGTTCATCGTGAACTTCATCTTATGAGAAATACTCATCTTATGAGTGAGGCTTCCTTATTAAAAAAAAGAGAGATTATTTGTTGCCATGGTCAAAGATGGTAAGGATGATTAAATTAATGAATATTTATTATATGATGCTTTGACTATTAAAATGAATCCTTGGAGACAGACTCAGAGAAGATATCAGCCATCATTCAATCAAACCTACCTAGCTTTGAAAAAGCTGATTAAAAAAAGAAAGAGTCTGATTAGGGGATACAACTTCTCCAAGATGATGCATGAGGAAACCTTTGACTCACAAGAAAAACATGTATTTTGTAGGGGGCTCTTATTTGAGGTACCCACATTTTTTTTTTCACTCTGTGATCCTTCAGATGAGGTGATAAAAGGTAGTGAAATGACTTAAATGAGGGAAACAGAATGAAGAAGAATTACTAGCTCCAGAGATCTTGAGAAACACGTGTGTGTTTAAAGGTGAAAAAAAAAATCCAAGCAGACCCCCCCCCCCAAAAAAAGTCTGTGTAAATATTCTGTGCATTGTAGACTTTTACCACTATTGATGTGAAACACAGTTCACATATTTTTGGGTAAAATACAATAATTATTATGACTCTGTTTTCTAGGCCAAAGGTCACATACCCAACACAATTTATAAATATGGACACTGAGGTTCAGAGATAGTAGATCACTTCCCTAAGTCTGTACAAATAATTTAGGGTAAATTCCAGAGAGCATTCCATTCTATCTGATTCTAGAGCTCATGCGCTTTACGTAAGCAGAATAACCTTGTATACTTATGAAAAGAAAAACGAACTCGAGTGGATTAAACCTGGTACTTGAATTTGACTTTGTCTTGGAAAAATATGTTGGCTAAGGATTTACCCAGAATAGTCAATTGTTAAGCTTTGGATAAGGAACCAGCTGAAAACTGCTGATGGTTTGGGTTTCATTTGCTTCCAGGTCTGGTAAAGCTCATGAAATTCTAGTTAGAAGTAAGTAATTTCAAATAAAAATAGTCAAGTAAAAAATCGGACAACCATTGGAGAGTTGTAATTTTATGCACTATGGATGGTATTATGTTAAAGATTATTCCTGAAAAATAAAGATAGGATAAACATTCTCATGTCTTTAATCTCCTCTATAACTCAGGCCCCACAATAATTTCATTTACAATTCCTTTTTGTGTATGTATTCTTTATTGGAAAGTCATGAGGAAAGACTATGCAAGTGTCAGTGCTTAAGAAACTGCTAGGGCCGTCAGACATGTTAATGTTTGTTTTCTCAGTGAATTTCCTATCACCAGTGAACACAGCAGGAGGGACATCACTGCTCCTATTTCACAGACAAGTAAACCAAAGCATGGAGATGCTACAGACAAATCCAATGTCACACAGCAAACATTAGCAGGATTTGGGTAGCACTGCTGGATCCAAAGCCCAGCCTCCCTTCAGTTTTCATTACAACACTATATTTCGTGAATATTTTCAGTGACTGTTCTAAACTCACCTTCTTGTAGAAAAGTGGAGGACTGCGTGATTTGGGATGAGAGAGGAAGCCAGGTAAGACAGAGTCATTATAGACTTCACTAGAGATTTCATAAATAGCCACAATTGACAGATTTCACTGTGGACAGATGGCAGCTTTGGCTGGGATCCGCTCCATTCCTCGAAGGTAATTCGGCACTGGTGTTGGTCTCTCCCACACTCATTTGGACTGGCTCAGCATGGAGTGGGATGTGGAGGACTCATCTGGCTTGATGTGAAACTTCATATTTCACAGTGGAAGAACTGAAATGAAAGGAGAAGTAATATACTTTGTATATTCTTCTTTCTTTTAAAAACATATTGCCACAAAGGGACTAAGAATTATGTAGGTTGAAGAGAAATGTGCTTGGAATTTCTATCTTCTTTCACAGATCATTGACACTTTGGGGTCAGCACAGACCCTGCTTATTTTGAGATCAGATACACGGATGATAAATGCACTGTATTTTAGGCTTGAATTAAAATAATTTTTCCTTCCAAACACTTTCAAATCTATTTGGCCAACTGCCTTTTCATTTTATATTCTTGTTTATTTAGAAGAAATATAGTCCATATGTTTCACATTTATTTATACTTAACTCATCAAAATGTTATTTGGCAATAGGTATTTGATGTCCCCTAGAAAATTCTCAAGGTGCTTTTGATAAGATTTAGTTTTTATATCTGGGAAATAATGATATGTCTGTAGAAAAACATGGCTCCCAGTGGGCCCTAGGTCAGTTCAGAGCTCCATTCAAAATGGTTATGGAAGGCCAAGTTTGGAGGAGTACTTCTGTGTAATTCATTACTCTCCAAAACTGCCAGTAGAGATTGCTGGTTAGGGGTTGCTTGACTCCCAAAGCAGCTTGGTTTAATGTCTACTGTATAGCCACAACTGAGTTGATTGATAGGTAGACTATCCTACTTATCAAAACGTGTAGTATGTTTTAAATATAAACCTGAATACGAAGATTTGACTGCATAAAAATTTAAAGCAAATGAACTAATAAATGATATTAACAACATACATATCAAGAGCTATATTGAATATAAAAACATTATTAATATATGAAAATATATTTCAATAATGTGAATATCTCATTGGAAAACTAGACACAAGGTAACCATACATAAACAAAACAAATCACATGTATGTACACATATATGAAATTAGTGTAAAAATGTTCAGTTTTATTTATAGTTAAGTGCATACCAATTAAGATAATAAGGATACACGATGTTTTAAACTAGCAAATTGGCAAAACAACATCAAAATATTAAATACTATCAAGAGATTTTGATAATCTGTTGGTTGAAGTGTAAACTGGTGTACTTACTATTATGAACTGACATTTTTTAAAAGAGTTTATGTCCTTCAAGACAATTTTTCTTTTTAGGAATATATCCAAAGTTGAGGACAATAATTTATATGTGAATGCATTTATCGCATTTCTATTTTTAATAGTGAAAATAAAAAAGTCAACATTTCTAATAATAGAGTTAAATAAAGTAGGATACATTCCATATACTATTCTCCACTGATGTCACATTACTGAGTTTACTGTCATGGGAAAATGCTATTAATATAAATTTTAAATAACAGAAAATATATCTCTACTATATAAGCCCAATTTTATAAAAACAACGTCAGACATGTAAATGCATGAAAAGAAAAAATAAAACAGTTTATGAGAACCAATTAACCAATTGTTAATGCTTGGCCGTGAAAGTATATGTAATTAAAATTTTCTTCTTTATAACTTTCTGTATTTCAGCAATAAGCATCTATTAGTCTTACAATCCTAAGACACAATAAATAATGCTTATAGGGACAGAATTTTTTGAATTTTCAGCAGGCAAAATGTAATACTCATTAGACATGGAAACAGTGATTTGGGGGCTTTGCAATGATGATGAAATAACTAACCCTTCTTTTCTCTCCTACATTCTCCTGGCTGTAGCATAGCCATCCTTGAGAAATAGTATCTGTGTGGAATATATTACCATGTCTTCACATTGAAATGATAGTCCAAAAGAAAAAGATTTCATGCTGTTAGTGAAAAAAAAAATCTGCCCATAATTAATGTCAGAAGAGTTTTCTGATTGCTGAATATAACCTGCTTGTGAACTTCTTTAGATACTCTGCTCTTCAGTTTGAAGGCTAAATAATTTTTTGAATAAGCCCATTATCTTAACAAAACATCTTTTCAGAAGGCATTTTCCCGTGAGGTTAGACTTGATTGGCTTGATTTATCTGTCTCATTAGGAAGAAGGGAGTTTGGATGCACAGAGGAAGAGGATGCGGTTGAGGAATTGGAAACCTATCACAAATATAATCTAGTCTGGAGAGGCAGCGAGCTGTGTGGGTTGAGTGAAGACCTGGGCTGGCATTTTAGTTCTGCCATTTGGCAGATGTGTGAGCTTGTGCAGTCATGTGATAGCTTTTGTTTTGTCTACCTTAAAGGGTTCTTGTGAGGAATAGATGTAATAACACCTGGGAGTTATTACTGCTGTCAATGGCACTAGAAACTGGACTCCTGACTAACCTGGATCTTGGTGACTTGGACCTAAAGGGATGGAAATGTCCAGTGCAGGCCTTCAGAGTTGTCCCCAGAAGTGTTTAATTAAGCCTAAGAAATTTGAATGCTGTAGCTTTGTTTGCAGGTGGTCATGCTCTTTAAACTCTCTGGAAATTGTGAAAAACAAATATTTCTTAAAAATATTTTTATTATTCACATGTTTACAGTAAACTATCAAAGTAGTGAGACCTATTTTCATAAGCCACACATCTGTTTATTTTATGACCACATTACATCTGGTTGTACCTTCATTAGAACACAAATCAATCAAGTGAAATATAATATTTGTGAACAAAGCTGTATAAGCTCTTTTATAATGTGTTTATAGTTTTGAAAAGTTAGAAAACGATTCTGGATCTGTTTATGGAGGAACCGTATTCTCAGACTCCGGAGCTCTAGGTGGATAGGCTGGGAGACAGGGACTGTCTTAGGAAGGTATAGGCCCCATTGGCAGATAACCATCCCCAGTCACATGTTTCAACACATGATTGGGGTTTAAGCTCCAGACAGTAGACTTTAGCCAGCCTGGGCAGAGAGTCAAAGAATAAACAGTTTAAATTCATGTAATGACTGAGACATTTTTAGAAAATAATTAAAATTATTTTTCTTACTAACAGACTGGAAAAAGCAAAGGTCAGGCACCCTCAAGGAGACGGTGGCAGACCAGACATAGAGGGAAAACAAGGACCTTTTGATATTGTCAAAGTAAGTTAAATTTAGACTTAAGGAATTACTTTTTGTTTTTATTGAGACATTATCTTTTTATACTAAGAAAGTTATAATAAGTAAGCTGTGTTTTCTAAAAAAGACTAATTTTTATGTAAGAAACTTTAAGTGGGACATATTTATCTTATTCTATTGAGAAAATGGAGGACTCATTGAATAAAGGGCATTATATTAGTTCATTATAAAATTAGTGACTTCCTGAATAATCAGGTGGTGCTGAGCAAGACTATCTTCTGAAGAAGAGGAAGGCAAGGTGGGGAAATGCAGTTGGGGGCAAGCTGGCATGGGAAATCCAATGCCTGAGTAGAGCTAGAAGGGCATCATTGAGGGTGGCAAGCTGTGACACTGACAGCAGATTGGATACATGGGGGAGACTGGCCATCTATGTAAATACTGAGAATAATGGGAGTCACCCACAACTCACACCATTTAAGAAGAGGGTTACAAATTTCGAAAAGTAAAAAAACAGAATCAACCAAAGTGATATAAGAATTAGTATGAATTTACTGTTTTTTATGACAGAGTCAGAGAGACATCATAGAGAAAGAAATACAGATGAATATATGTAGATATAGATAGATAGATAAACATAGAGTTTCCCTTCATACCTACAGTGCTGCACCCATGAATTTAGCCAACCATGGATAGAAAATAATTGAAAAAATATCATATCTGTACTAAAATGTTTAGACTTTTTTCCCTGTCATTATTCCCTAAACAATATAGTATAATAACTCTTTATGTAGCATTTACATTGTATTAGGCATTATTATAATTAATCTAGAGGTGACTAAAAGTATATGGGAGGATGTTGTAGGTTATATGTAAATTCTACACCATTTTTACATATAAAGAACTTGGGTATGCTCAGATTTTGGAATCCACCAAAGTTCTGAAACCAATTGCCCAAGGATACCAAGGGATGACTGTATTTTCTATCCCTGGTCAACAAGTAAGTCCTGAAGTAGTAACACCACAATCACAATAATCACCCTTTGAGGCTAAATCTTGACTTATAAATACTACTCTGTATTAAAAACAACCTTCGTTGCTTGGAGAATTGGCTGACACTAGGACTGGGGAGGAAAAAGCACAAGAATAGCCTAGAAAACACTTTATGTCCCAAGACAAGAGGAATGAGGGGAACACAATAAAAGGACACATGAGCCCCTTTGAAGGTAGTCACACAAATCTGAGATAATTCAAGCTTCAAAATAGATAATGTTAATCAAGTATTACAATTCACTGAATGAAATGAGATACATAAGTCCATAATAACATAAATAAATCAATGGATAAATAAATTGTGAGGAATGAATGATAGCTAATAGATGTGAGAGGAATAATGACATTAGGAAACCACCAGTTGGCAATCATTCCAGCAATAATTAAGCCAAAAACATCTATAAATTAAAATGTCAGGGGATGAAAGTTTGATGAGAAGATATTTATATAGTCTAAAAGAGTGCTTCCTGTAAAATATTTATGTATTAAGAAGAAAAAAGTATAACTTTTAAAGAATTCTGGCAGATAATATCTTAATCTAATCATCAAAGCTAACTTTATAGAAAAGGGACAAAAAGCAATTGTAACTGCCTGATAAGAAGACTTAGAAGAACTTCTGCCAAAGATGTGTATCCTGAATCTAATCATAATGCAACATCAGACGAACTCAAATTGAGGGACATTCTACAAATAACTGTCTTCTGTTTTCAAAAGTATCAAGGTCATGGATAATGAAGGGAAGATGGAGAAAGTATTTCAGATGGAAGGGCACTAAAGATATTGCCAATTGTTTGCATCTGCATCAAATCCTTTGGCTGTAAAGGAAAAGACTGGGAAACCTGGTGAAAATTAAATGGGGTAGTGATGAGGGATCCGTGTTGAATTCCTTGTTTTGATGTGGTTATGTAGGAGAATCTTCTAGAAAATTTACACTACTTGGTTCAGGGATTATAG